AAATTTTGTTTGGTATTTTATTTCTTAGGTGTCATTGTGGCAAATGCAGCCTTGAATGTTTGCAAAACATGAGTGAATGCTTTTGCTGTTGTGAGTTAGACGGATGCGTCAAAGCTTTGGAGAGCGACATTGTCATCCAGGATTTTCCCTAAGGCACCAAGCTTACTTGCATCACCCAGCATCCTGGATTTAACCCTGTTTGCCTCCAGAAATGGAGCCTAAGATTGGCAGCTGGCAAGTACAGATTGAAAAGCAAGAAAACGTATAAACAGACTGGATCGGAGGAAAGGTAAGTAACTTTTGTATAATATATTTGTCAATTGTGCTCATTTGATAGCTACATACAGATGCAAGATAGGCTTTGCTGGCGTTATAAATTTTGAAGGTACAAATGAAAATCCTCAATGTTTGGAGACAAATGTTCTTAACTGGGTTTGAGGTCAGTAAACGTGCCAAAAACATTTGACCATTTTACATCAATCTGTGAAGCAAAGAGTAGTCCGAGTTTCTGGTGTCATGATACATGATGCTCCAGTTGAATAAGTTCATAACTTACAAAAAAGATGACAGTTACTTGTGATAAATGGCATAATAGTTCGTGGCTAGTCTGGCACTGAATATTTTTGAAGTCCCCTTAATATGTGGTCCTTGACAATTTGTTGAGACTCAAGCTGTGCTTTTCTCTTGTTGCACCCTACAGCCCAAAGCAATCAAAAGTGACTGCACTTGTCCTTCATGCTTTTCTCTACTCTTCACCCAAATAATACACCTTACCTTTCATTTCTGAATATATTTTTCTTTGGAATGTTGTACAATCTATGAAATAATTGACATTGCATCTGCTTTTTTATTTGCAGTTTTTTAAGGAGTGTTGCCTATCGGGAATTTTCTCGGCTGGTATATGGATTCTTGGGGAATAAGAGGTATCCCTTGCCTGCCTGTGCATACAACGCCATCAGGAAAACATTTCCTTGCTCAAAGGATGAACAATTTATTGGATTCGAGTTAGATGAGGAGAACATTTAAAATCTTATTTCCATGGTCGGGAACATAAACATAACATATACATGTAAAGTGACTTAGTTAACAGCGAAACAAATTTTTATTTCAAATGGTTACATATTTATTGTATTGAAATCGTAAACATCATGCAACCTTGTTCCTCGGAATTCCTGTCATGAAACTGGCAATAAAACTACTTTTTGAATTTACATGTTTATAGTATTAAAATCATAGACACTGGGCACTCTTGAAACAGAATTCTTGCCATGAAACTGGCCATAAAAGGTGTTTATCAGCAAAAAAGCAAAATTCCTTAAACTATTGTTTTCTTTGATTCTTGGGGCAAGTGGTAACTTTGCTGTGTCCCTTAGTTGGATGTCTACAAAGTGAGCATTTTGGTGGTACTTTTCTCTTCTTGGCTGCAGTTTGAGTGTTTCCAAGAGCTTGTTCCTGAACTTGATCCACTAAAAAGTAATGAAATGCCCCATATATTACTATTACCCTCCATGGCAGATGTGATGGCAAAATAAAAGCAAGTTTGTAAACAAATGTGTGTGATTTCAGAATATTTCTGACTTGGGGTGATCTGAAGGCATATAAGTGACAGCGACAGTTAATGAGTTATTATGCCACCTGCCTCACAACTTGTATTTCCTAAGAATATTTACAATACCCATACAGAGTGGTTTTTCTGTAAGGACCTCATCTGGATAATCGATTCAAACTTTACACATCTACAGTGACATGTGTATTTTTCCTTTGATACCCCACCTCCCCCCCCCCCACTTCCTTCTGCGGGTGGTAGTGGTAGTGTCTCTTGTAAGTCTCTACACAACATGCTGCTATTCTTCTCTGGGCATGCCAACCCTTTCCCCCACAGGCAAGTGAAGAAATCGAATATGTGCTTTCTTACCAGGTGTGGTAGGGGGGACATCTTCCACAACCTTCTTACTTCTGTCTGTTTTCTTCTTTATTGCATCAGTTTTGGACTCCCTCTCCAGCATTGAGTTCATCGGTAAAGGAGTTATTTGCTTTAATTTGGCTGCAGCCCCTTTCAGATCATCATTGGATGCACTGAGAAATGTTTGAAAGATTTCCTCCACATAATCTACAACCAAGAGCAAAGGAGAAGGATTGAGTTCTATGGAATTAGGTTGACGTTTACAAGCTGGATTTGGTGGTTGGGCGGGGGGGGGGGGAAGGGGTAAGAGTGATTATAGGAGGGCACTTATTCAATATTCAGCCTTGTAGTAATATCCTAAAACAAAGGAAAGAAAACTGGGTTGATGCACTTTAGTTTTCACTGCAGACTCACCAAAGTTCTGAGAGATTCTTATGTCCCGCACAGTTGCTTCACCATTCTTGAATTTTGGGTACGTGAATTTCTCTTGCCTAGCATTGTCAGAGTTCCGTGTTCTCACATGTCTATGCAGATTAAAGTTGAAATGCACTGCAGCAAGAATATGCCTGCAGGAAAAGACATTGCAATGTTACAATTTCCCTTGAGTTGGTGTATGATGAGAGGAAATGGGCTACACAAAACAATTGTCTCAACAATGTCTAGCTATGTACTTCCACCCACTAATATCAATAAAATCCACAGTTATTTATTACAGTGCATTATCATAACTGCAGTACATTCCAACATAGGAAAAGGCAATCATTTTTGGAGCAAAATGATTTAAAACTGAATGAAACCCCTCAAGGCAACTTGTTTGTGCAAAAGGGGAAGCTTGTTTGATTCCCTTCACCAAATTAATGTTGTTCAACACACTGCACAACTTTTCATAGGCTTGTGAACCTGCATAAGTAAAAACAAATATACCAATGTCAAAGCATCATGAGTTAACCTTGTTAATTCCTTTATATTATTGCAACATAAAATGTTACTTTCAGTAAAGATTTTTTTTTATAAATGCCCAAGAGCATCATTTATCCTAATGATTGTACTATAGTCAATTCCAGTACATACCAGCCTTCAACCATTTCCTTGGTTGAATTATACCATGAAAGCACTTGTTAAACAGTGGATCAGACAGATGAGAGTGCTTGTTGATTATATGACTCATGAAGGACCGGAACTTTGCATAGATGACATTACCATTTCCACTGAATGTAGTAGTGGCACTCCAATATAAATGATTCTCACAGGGCTTTATCCATTCTGCTATACATTCACAACCCTTTTCCTTACACAGTTTTGACAGGACTTTCCTTATTTCTAGGATGAAAAGAGGAGAAAGGAGATACTACACACCTACTGATATATTAAATTAGTCTACATGTACATTTTCATAGCCCACCAATAAAGAAACAAAACATAAAGGGTGTACAGTTGTTTATGCCTGTAAATGGATGTCTTTTCAATAGTTGTTGTAAGATCTTGGCTGATACTTAGTCTATTTTGCAATGAAGGAGGTCACAGCAACCATTGCCACCTTCTGTGCTAATTAGTAATAATGCTGCCATTCAAAAGAAATGATAATATCACTTCAGATTCTCTGCAACTAATACACTTTTAATTTACTTATTGATTGTATTAGGTTTTCACTTACTTTTCTTCAAATGCCATATGTCAAAGTAGTGAGTAATTGTTGTCAGGGTCTTCCTCATGTAGGCTGCAATTGAGACATGTCGATCTGAGACAAATGCGGTGATAAGTAAGCCATATCCAATCAGAAACTCCATACATGACTTGAACCCCATAAATTCCATGGCTGGACTGCTCCCAGCTTGATTTCTCTGTCAATTGTAGATATAAAAGAAAATGAATATATGGCTGGTAACATTTTTTATGCTGAATGCAGCAGTCTAATTTAAAAATTCTTGGGGGAAAGGTTGCAGGTTTCATTTATGAAAAAGTTGTTCCAACTGTTTATTGTGGAATTTCCTTATTTGCCTTTTTGTTGAAAGGATTGAAAACATAGGCCTTTTTTACAAGTCATTTCTGTAACATTACTTCCGTTAAAATTCAGAAAGTTCGGGGCAGCCTTATATCAAATCATACAAACTTGAATCTCATACCTGGATAAGTGAAAAGTGCAGAATCATTGGAATGGTGCAGCAAAATATGGTGTAAGCACCATACTTGGCACAGTGCCCCATACTGTCATGGCGTCCATCCCCTGCAATGATGATCCCATCTTTCACTTCTTTCACTTTCTCCAACATCTGCTTTTGGTACTTCTCCCAGTACAGCAAAATTGTAGGGAACAGTTTGCTCTGGTTATTAAAAAAGAACAATTAAAGAAATTTTTCCGAACAAATGGTTTATACCATAAAACAGTCTAGAGACAGTATGGCAGATTGTACTTAGATGGGTGGAAAATCATGGGCAAGAGAATTTATAGGGGTCCACTAATTATGTTGCACAATGTTTTTATGACTACATGTACTTACCCTCTGGTATTTGAAGAAAGTGTTGAGAGATATGCAGCCAAGACCCATGTGTGCAAAGACTGTAAACACTTTGGAGGCTGATGCCCCAGCTAGCAAGATGGCCATACACAGAAGAAAATTACCAGCTGGTAATTTTGTTCCAGGCATTGGTGGCTGGCTGTGCCATGTGGTCTTTGGATTGGGACACTTGGGGTTTGAACAGGTGCTGGTCACAACTGCTTCAGTTCCAACTTGATCAACATCTACCATTGGGTTGTCTGCCTTGCAACTACGGCAGAAACCAAACAATAGCAGAAGCTGCGAAACAAACACAATATGTTTCGGCTCTGTACGCAGGTTTGTTCCTTTCAATGAGACCCTGTAACCAAATACACAAATACATCTGTTTGGCATGTTATTCGTCATTTTCAAATGATATGATTTTGTTTGTTTGTTTTATTACTAACCAGCTGTGTATGAAAAATAAATAAAACAAAATTTGACACCTCACATTTTAAGTTTCCTTGGACAACACCCGGCAGTCAAGTGAGGTAGAAATTAGAGCACAATCAGTCAGGTCCTACCTGGCACAAGTGAACTACACTGTAAGTTAGGGACCTGGCACTAATCAGGCCACTTTTGTTGTATTTTGTCTCGTTTCCCTTTTCTATTATAGATAAGAGTCCATCAATTTCGCTAGTACTTCGGTTTAATAAATTGAGCTCATAACAGTTTGCATGTACACAGAATGATAAAAAGCGACAAGTGCACTATCGCCAGGGCCTGACTGATTATGCTCTAGAAAAATCACAGTCGTGCTTTTCTGTACTATCATAATCTTTCGGACTCAAATTCTTCTTGTAAAACAGGCCAAACTAACCTTTTATATTGACTTGCATTTAAGAGCCCTTCGTCCTCTGATTCTGTCTCAGTTGTGGGTTCCTCCTCTGTCTCGTATGTGCTATCATCAGTTCCTTCCTGGGCCTCTTCCGTGCAACTCTCCTCTGCAAATGGATCTCCAAAATCTACACCACTCTCCTCGACAAAATCTACCTTGTTGAAAACCTCCTGATCATGACTTTGCATTTCTGAAAAAAGGACCCCGATTTTTTATTAATATGTTACTTTAAGGATATGCATATGAATTTTAGGAAAATACTTTCTTAGAGAGACAACTTCGCAGAGCAAACTGCACAAAATATTACTACTCAAGTTATATGCAGCTTATAAAAGCCAAAAGCTGTACTTCAAAACTCATGAGACCTTTTGAAGGTGTGTTTTCAAAAGCTTCAATCAACTCCCGTACAGCACAAGATTTTCCAAATTTTTGCTGTTTAAATTTGCTAGAGCAGCTCAATGAAGGACAGGTAAAGCTCCCAACATGAACACTGCAGAAGCATACTTTCCACTTCGTGTTTCCCGCGAATAATTCGGCGGCCATGTTGAATTCGCGGGAAAAATATTATATTTTTCGTATAAATAAATAACATATCCCGCTTCTGAGAACGACTTACCTTCTACTTTCTTCTCTATCTTTGTAAGTTCCTTCCTTTTTTCTATAAGCTTTTCCCGCAACGACTTTACTGTGTTGCTTAGCTTCCTCTTTTCATTTTGAAGAACGACGCAGCTCGCGCACTCTTCACTCGCACCGGCACTTTCCCCAACTTGCTCTGCAGGCGGATTTCCCTCGACTTCGCACACATCTGGTGGCTCTGATTCATGAACGAGTTCTGCTGCTTGTGGCCGTTTTTCTGCATTAACTAAAGAAGAAGATGCAGTTGGCTCCTTGCTTCTTCTTCTACGTTTAGGCTCGGGCTCGACTACGGGGACACAAATGTCAGGACTTTCCAGTGCGTCTTTCTTCCTCTGAATGCAGAAAGACAAAGCGAAATATTTCAAAGGAATGCACTCTTAAAGACCATCAAAACTTTTGCAAATACAAATTGAGTACGTGAAAGAAACATGTTAACAACGAGATGCCGCGGGAAAGCTGCTCATTTTAATAAAAATACATGTGCATTTCTCACCTTTCTCTCAGCTCGCTTGCTTTCTGGTTTACTTCCGCCCGAAACACAAGGCGCTTGGATTGTCGGGCAAACACAAATGCCAATTTCATCTTTCCGTAGTCTTCTTTGCATATTGACGTTTGTCAATCCAG